GAGACTCAAGAGGCTTTCTGGCTGTAAAATCTACCCACGTTTCCTGTTCCCCAGCCTCTAGCAGACACCCTCAGACAGGTCTGCAAGGGGCAGGTGAGGGCCCAAAGGTCACCAGTAGGTTAATAACAAACCAGCTCTACGAGTCAACTTTCTCTAGGGTTAAATCAGACCCCAGTGGTGCACATGTATGTTCTCAGAACATTACCTTTGCTCGTCCACCAAAGCCCAGAACGCTACCTGTAGTCATTCCGATGTCTCAAGACACTTGCCCTTCCCAGGGAAAGCAGTACAAGACTTAGCTTGAACTGTGTCCCAAGACCTGGTACCCTTGTTAACTCCCTGAAAGTGCAAGCATGGCGTGCATGTGTGCACGTACACACACACACACACACACACACACACACGCACACGCACGCTGCCTGGGACACCTGCAGATCCTGTAGGAGAGGTGGGGCTGCCAGGAACTGGTTCTTGTTTAAATATAAACCCATCTGATAACCTGCAAACAACCCACTTCGAAGATAAACAAATATAAGATTTGGGCTCCATCAGCCCCACCCTAAGCGCTACCCTACCCTTCTAGCAGCTGCAGGACTCGATGTGGGGGAGGAGAGAGGTCCTGGGCAAGTCAGGGAACGGTCACTGAGGAATGTCTCCTGTTCCACTACTTGGAGGTATGCTCAGGGTTCTCCTTTTGCAAGCTCATCAACTTGAAGCCTCGCCACACAATCTTTTAATTAATTTATCCTTATTTATTGGTGCTAGGGAATTGAAGTCGGAACCTCAACAGACCAGGAGGTTAATTAGCACACCCACTGCCACATTATTGTTTTAACACTGCTACCAGCTCCAAAAATGTCACGGAATCTTAATGTAAATCAAACCCAAATGACACTAGTTTTGGCTGTTGAATTCAGACCAGATGAAGCCTCGGTGTTACTTAAGGCTGTGGGTGTGGAGAGGTGTACCAATATCGTACTTGCTCTGTAGCACTGTCCAGGATTCAAGTGCACACACAGGCACTGTGAATGTTGAAAGGCTCTAGACACAGATGCTGACTCCCAAAAGCCAAGATAAAAAAATAAAAATGAGCAAAACCCCTCAAAACTTCATGCCCATTCCAACATTCCTACCACAGAGTTATGTGTCTTACTAGTAAGAGACTGGTAGGAAGCGGGTGACTCAGGCTGGCTGTAGTAAGACACAGTTGACTCACAGAGCCCAGTCCATCCCATTCCCCCATTCATTTGGAAATCATAGCAACTCATCCAGTCCAAGAGGCTGAGAAAACAGCTAGGGGCCGATCCCTTCCAGCAGAGAGCCCAGCTCCCGGGCTCCTCATTCAGGCCGGCTCAGTACTCCAAGTCCTTGAAAAGCCTTCTGTTTCTAAGCACTGGGGATGGCAGGAGCTGAATGTCCACCCCACTTCTCTTTTGGGACAAGGACTTGTTTAGAGTCTACCAAAGAAGCCAAGAGAACTTCCCTTCCTCTCCCTATTGGGCTGTGGAGAAAGAAGGACACTCAGGTGGCAATGGTCCAGCCTCCTCGTGTTGGAGGTAGGAGGCCAAGCTCTAGACACAAGGTATGTTTGCTAGCAACACAGAAGTAGGTCCTAAGGTTATCTGATGTCACCATTCATGATGTAGAATGTTCTCTAAGGGACAATCGAAACACACACCTAGCATTCTCAGTCAGACCTGGTTCCTGATCTTGGCAAAAGGCTGCATTCCTTTGAGCATCAGCATTGTGTGAACAGGGAGATAAAGATGCCTGCACGGATGTACCAAACTCCAGGCATCCTAGCAGTGGCTTCACCTTTGAGAATGAGGTTTTATATATGAGTTTATTCAGTCATACAATCGCTGTCCATGGGGAAGGTAGGGGTTTTTAGAACGAATGAAGCAGACTTCTGGCCCTAGATGTGCATGGGTAAGGGCTCTCCCTTTCTAGAGTTTGGTGACGTGATTTCATTTCCTTGAGAGAAAGGCCTTAGATGTCATGAGGTTTCCGATAGCTCCCTTTGAATAGTTAATGCTTAATTATTAGTCAAGTATCAGAGGGCTGAAGAAGTGGCTCAGGGAGAAGACCTGGGTTCGATTCCCAGCACCCTCTTAGCATCTCACAACTGTCTGTAGCTCCAGTCCCAGGGGAACCAACATCCTCTCCTGGCCTCCTTGGGCCCAGAATATACACATGCTACACAGACATACATTCAGGCAGAATACCCCTACACATACGGTAATAAAGCAATAATCAAGAATGAAATGGGGGGGGCGGTCCTCTTCTTGAAACATCCTAGCTCCATCTTGATTTTGCAGAAGACCCCTCTGAGTTAAAAGGTCTCTCCCAAACCCAGTGAGCTCTCCAACTCGTGGTCCAAATATTTTCCCGGATATGCAGTACTTCTATGGGCTCCCAAGAAGTCCCAAGAGATCTCACCAGCCACTCATAGACCCTAGAACCTCCTAGACTTCCGCACTCAGCCTCTACTTCCATGCTGCCAAGGAGAGAGTTCTCAGATAGACTAGAAACTTTAAGCTGAAGTACACCAGGTGGGTGGGAGATACTTCCTCAGAACTGCCTTGGATTGGTGCCAAGTCAGTGGGCTGTGCCCCTGGGCAGCAACACCTTGGCCCACACCCATCACTCCCCCATCCCCATCCCAAAACAAGGCTGCCTTTAATTGGTCAGGGTGGGACGGGCAGGAAGGCAGATCAGGGAATGCTCCTAGCTGGACAGGAAGAACAGGTTTAGGATGGTAAACCCGCCAAGCAGAGGAGAGGGCATCGGGTGTTTAGCTTGGGCTCCCTTCCCCAAATCTGGGTTTGGATTAAGCCTAAAATTTGGAGAAAGGCCCTCGGAGCATGAAGAAGACAAGACTACTCTGTGAGAGAACTCTGTGAGAGAACAGATGGCCTGCCTGTATACTCCGTATTAAGAGATGGTTATCATTTAATCTCTCAATATATTTTCTGGAAGAGAAGATACACGAGCATAATCACAGGTGCTGGGTTTTATTGGTGGTGGTGAGTTTTTTTGTTTGTTTGTTTGTTGTTTGTTTTTGTGAGGGCCTAATTAGTCAGTTGTCAGAATCTCTCTCATTCCAAGGGAGAAAGAAAGATACTGTCATTTGTTTCTCCAATCTAAGGGTCATTCGGTCTGATTTTTCAGGCCACAATCTACAAGAGAATCCCTGTGACCCAATTAGCAGCAAGATGCCATGACATTAGGCAGGGAGGAGGGAGGACTGAGGTCAGGACCAGAGATTGCAACTGAGGCCTCCGGAAGCAGCTGCTTTAGTCTGGCTTCTCCCCCTTGCTAGATCAGGTCACCCAAAGCAGGCCTGGCAAGACCTACCTCCCCTCCAAAACCACATCCTTCTGACTTATCTGGGGGACACTGCGGTCTACTCCTCCCCCCAAAACACCTGCTGGCTGAGCAGCCAGAGGGAAGATCAATGGCATGTGACTGGACACGTGGTGACCTCAGCCATCTCTTAGGTCCTTTTTCCCTCACACTGCTCAGTCAGCATTCCTTCAGGTGTCCCCAAGGAAGGACTCAACTTCAGAATACCTGTTAGCAGCTCATTTGGAGTGAATGCAACAGGAAGGCTTGCGGGCCTCCGGGACCACTCAGCCACAACCTTCCTGCAAAGATGCCTTCCCTTTAGTGGAAGGCAGGCATTTCCAAGCCTGGCTGTCTAACGTCTGCCTGACTCAGCCGGTTAATAGCTGTGTGACCTTCAGCGAGTTACTTAACCTCTCTCCTGCCTCAGGACTAGTTTAAGAACAGTAAACAGTGAGGTTTTCTGAAATTAAACACATTTGATTCCAAAGCCTCCAGAAAGCTATCAGAACAGAAACAAGCATGCAATCGGTTCCATATCTAACTGGAATTGTGCTGGGCATTATATATGCTCTTATTTCTCACCAGAAGGCTCCCGAACACTGTCCCTAAATAAGCCCAGAGAAAAAGCGGCTTTCAAAAGAACATTAATGATTAAATGCCAGAGTCTCACTCCCCCTAAAACTTGAACTAACGGTACAAATGGCTCACGTTCCTGGGTCAGACCCCCCTCTCCCAGGAACTGTCATGCCCTGTAAGTTCTCTTATGAGTCTACCTCCTAAAGTTCTACTAGGACAGAGCTGATAGGCACTCCGTCCTTGCTGACTCTAACAGGGACCCTGAAAAGGAAAGGTTTCTTTAGGCTCCCTGGGACCTTTTCTCCCCCGGGTCATTCACCCGACTCAGGTGGGTGCCTCGGCTTCCCCGTGTGCGAGTTCAGCCAAAACACTTCTCCCAAAACAGTTGTAACTCAACCTCTAGCCCGAAGCTAACAGGAAAGCCGTCCTTTGAGTCTGGTAAAATAGGAACACAACCTTTTAGACAGCCTAAAGCAGGAAAGGTCACCTCCTGATCTGTTCTGTAGACAGGGCAGGTGACACTTATAAGGAGCTGATCTTGCCCTTTCTTAAATCAATCGTAGCAAGGCTGTGGCCAGGACGAAGGCCAGGACTCAGTTCTCTCCATTCCTCAGGTTCCCCGCACAGCCTTAAAGTTTTCCGGCTACCGAATGCGTGCTGCCCCACCTCGTCCCCAGGCCACCTCAGACTCGAGCCTCCTGCTCTGGACACCCAGAGGGCCACTCCGAGCGAAAAGCCAACACTGGGATCACAAAGTAGGGGTGAGGGTGCGGGAGGAGAAAAGTTGACACCAACTTAGTCACGTCCCACCCCGGAGCCCAGTGGCCAGGCTGAGTCCAGGACAGGAGCTCAGAGCAACAGGCTAGGGTTGCACGGCGCGTGGAGGAGTCTCCCGCAATCTTTCCGCGACCCCAGAGCAAAGTTTCCTCATAAAGTTTTCCCTGTCTCGGCGTCCGGGAGTTGGGGGTGGGGGGAAGCTCGTGATGCACCCTACTCCCTCTGGATCTCGGGATTTAGGGGAACAAGGGAGGCATTCCCCTATTCCCTCCGCTCTTAGACATCCCTCATACACATACCGACTCTCCGGGGACGACGGGGAAGCCTCCGAGGAGCAGCAGCAGCAGCGGCGCAAGCAGGCAGGCAGGCGCCATCGTTCCAACAGCACAAACCAGTGGCCCAGAGCGGGCGCGCAGCCCTTCTTATATACCGCAGCTCTGCCCCGCCCTCAGTGCTCGCCCGCACCGCCCGGAATTCCCCGGGGAAAGCTTGGGCCTGCGGGGTGCTGCGCTGGGCAAGCTGGAAACCACTGGAGTGGGACCCGCCCGCCCGGGGACCCGCCCACAGCGTGCCCGCCGGCTCCGAACTGACCCCGATCTATGGCTCCAGGAGCTGCAGCCCGGGATAGTTAACTGCTCTACTGCGAGGCAGTCTCCCTAAAACCTAAGAATCACTGCCCAACCCTACTTTATAGCCGGGAGAAACTGAGGCCCATAAACGGGTAGGACTGAGTAGGGGTCTTCTGTTTGTACCAGGGTGCGCTACCCTCCGAAGTCAGGGAGGATTTCCCAAGTGGCGCCTACTTCGGATAGTTTTGATTAGCAACTCTGAACCGACGACGACAAAACGGTTCAGGTTTTTCCGGGCCTTCTGTTGAAACTATTCCAACCCTGCTTGAGCACTAAACAGTGTGATTTATCAACTGAAGTGTGATCTTTTGTGTAATTCTCACGTGTCACAAAAGTGTTTATTCTTTTGACTTGTTGTCCTCTCCCCCACTTAGAAATAGAAAACCGCATCCTTAGAGCAGTGGACCAAACAAAACCAGGAAGACTGACTTCGATTTTGAGAGATTTCTTTCATCTCTCTGAAAACTGGTTTGCAAGTTTATTCTCTTTCTCAATAGAATCTCATTTCTCAAGGCGGCTTCCACACCGGATCCAAGAAAGTTCCTTCTAACACCATCCTAACAAAGTAGGTGATGGTAAGATTCTTTAGCCCCACTCCCAGCACAGGTACTGATGGAATTAATCGAGGTCGGAGGACATCCCCCCTAACCCCCGTGATAGGGAAGGGCTGTCATCCTGGCATTTGAGATATTGAGGCAAGAGGTGTTTTGGTTTTTTTTTTTTTGGTTTTTTTGTTTTTTTTTTTTTTTGTTTTTTGTCTTTTCGAGACAGGGTTTCTCTGTGTAGTCCTGGCTGTCCTGGAACTCACTCTGTAAACCAGGCTGGCCTCGAACTCAGAAATCCGCCTGCCTCTGCCTCCCAAGTGCTTGGATTAAAGGCATGTGCCACCACTGTCCGGCTAGGCAAGAGGTTTAAAATGAGCCAGCTGGTGTCAGTGTGGGACTCTGTCTTTAAAAATGTAAGGAGGGACATGCTAGAACCATCAATCAAAAGTATCGATCTCTGACATACAGATACATTGTGATTTTGGAGTTAGGGCATTTTGGTCTGTCGTAGCATTTTATGAATTCACATGCTATCCGAGGTGAGTATGACCCCTTGCCCCTGTCCCTCTTTGAAGTGCCTAAGCTAACCCCCTAACTCACTATGTCCCAGCTCAGCACCACCCCCTCCATAAGAATACAGACAGGGCATACTCCGTCCTGTTCTATTCCTTGGCTTCCCTTATTCTAGCCCTTAATTATTTAACGAGAATGAAAGTCTCTTGTGGCAGAGAGCCTTGAGAGAAAAACAATTTTCAAATACTGACCATGGGTTGTTTTTTTTTCCCCTAGACTTAATGGTGAGCAATTGTTCTCAACTATTTGAATATACTTCCCTAAAAGCTAAGCACTGAGAAAAATAAATGAATCACCCTAACTAGAATCAGAAACTCTTTCTCATGATTGGAGTGCAGTGGCATGTGCCAGTAGATCTCTATGAATTCAAGACCAGCCTGGTCTACACAGTGAGTCAGGGCTATGTAGAGAGACCCTGTCTCTACATAGGAGGAGGAGGAGGAGAAGAAGAAGGAGAAAGAAGAACTCCTTTCTTATTAGGCATGGTTTTATAGGAGAAGCAGGGAGATCTCTGAGCTTGAGGACAGCTTGTTCTATATTTCAGGTTCTAGGCCAGCCAGAGCTACGCAACCAGAACCTGTCTCAAAAGTAAAGAAATAAGTAAATAAATAATAGAAAGAAAACATTTCGCAATTCAAATGGTTTCCAGTCTTTCCATGGATTTGGCTAAATTGGCCCAGGATGACCTTAAACTCATTACACCCCTACCTCAGCATCCCAAGTAGCTGGTAAAACAGGCCTAGGTCAGGCCAGGCTGCTGTAAACAATGTCAAGAACATAAATAATAAAAGTATAGCTGATGCTTTATGTTGGTGGCTAACATTTTGTGGATGGCTAACGTTATGTTGTTTCAAAGTTTAAATAGTATTGTGCTTAAGAGAACTATAAAGCAAAACTGGACCTCCCACTGTCCAGGGCCGTTAAGGGTTGTTTCTGTCATTGCCCGGGCTTGCACGACTTTAACAAAACGGTTGTTTATGCAAGATAATGGGTCACGAGGTCAACTGCTGTTTCTGCTTCTGTAAACAAAAGCTTGTTTTTGCTGGAGATAACATGAACACCTGATAGATGTACCCTTTAAAAAACAGAACATTACTTTACGTTCTTTGCCTTTAGAAACCCCTGACTAACGTGACGAGGGGCTACACTTGGGAAACCTGGGGTATGGTGTGTAGACCAGGCACCAGTATCTGAACAAAACCCTCTTCTTTGTGAAAATGTGTCCGTTGTCAGAGTGATGAGTCTCTGAAGGCCTCAGACCTATAACTATTTATTTACTTGATAGTGGTGATTGAACCAATGTCGCACAAACTAAGCAAGCATCCTACTGCTGAGATTACTGTCAGCTGTTGGTTTGTTATGCTTTGGTTTTCGAGACAGGGTTTCTCTGTGTAGTCCTGGCTATCCTGGAACTCACTTGTAGACCAGACTGGCCTCGAACTCAGAAATCCACCTGCCTCTGCCTCCCAAGTGCTGGTATTAAAGGCGTATGTCACCACTGCCCAGCAATTCTTCTGAAGTATTTCCTGATGCTGATATCTGGGGAAACATCAAAATGAAAAATAGGGGTAAAGTTGTAGCTAGAATTTATCCCATTTTAGTGCAAGCAATGTTCATCCAGGCTTAATGATCAAGTTAGGAGGGAAGAAAATGCCTCACTCTGCAGTAAAACAGACATTCCCAGCCAAATTTCACTTTTTCTGCTTAGTAAGTATGGATTAAACTTGTTAGAACTGGTTTTTGGCCTGTATAGTTACTTATTTCAGTTTTGCTTTTGCCATGCTGGGGATCAAACCCAGGGCCTCGTGCATGCTAGGCAAGCGCTCTGCCACTGAGCCACAGCCTCAGCTCTTGCCTGTATGTGTCACAGTGCATATTGTAAACCTCGTGTGCTTTATTTTATTGGTTCTACCTTAAGAACGATGCTTAAATTGGTATGAGACTTTTAAAAAGTTGTAATATGATAATGTTTTGATCAATTGTACTCTAACAAGAGTCGTAACAGTGGAAAATTTAATACCTGGTCTTGTGCTCTAGAAAGTAAAATAATATGTATGGCAGTGAGTACCTGAAATTCAGCACTGAAGCAGAAGGATGCCAAGTTTGAGACCAGCCTAGTCTATATATTAAACCTGTTTAAACCTGTTTCAGGCCACATACAGAGGGTCTGGTGAGATGGAGTATTCATGTGTTGAACATACATACACTTAAGCACACACACAGACACACATAAGCACACTGAAAAGTCATCAGTAAATCTCATGTAAAAAATACAATATGAGGAAATTCTGTGGCAGAATGTAGATATAAAATTTAAGTATAAGGAGAAAAGACAACAACACAAACTTTGTCTATTCATGTATCTTCTTAAAGATTTGTTTGGTTTTGTTTATGTGTGCAAGTGGTTTTTATGCATGCATATATTGCACCACATGTGTACCTGGTACCTGAGGAAGCAGAAAAGAACATCAGATCCCCTGAAGCTGTAGTTACAGACAGTTTTGAACCATCACATAGGTCCCAGGAGAGCCTGGGTCCTCGGCAACCTCAACCAGTGATCTTAACTATTGAGCCAACTCTCCAGCCCCTGTGCCTTTCTTTTCTATTCTTTTTAAAGATGGATTGTTGAAAATTGCCTACTGCTACAGCATTTGGTTCAACTAGATATATATGAGAGAGCAGTGTAAACATTTTATTTGTATGTGTGTGGTTCACAATAAACTGGGAAATGCGATCTTTGCAACTATTTGAACATCTAATGAAAAACGTTAGCTACTAACTTTAAAATATGACTTTAAGATAACAGTAACTTGGGGGAAAATATTACCAAAAGAGATCGAAATGGCCAGCTGATGGTTAGCAACAGCTCTTCCTTTGCAGGGCTGTCCCAAACGCCTGGAACAATAGACTTCATCGTCTCCTTTTCAAATTCTGAGAATCTCTTGAAAGGATGCAAATGTGTTTCAATGCAGTCATCTCTGGGTTTATGGGATTTGAACCTGGGATTCTTGGGTTGGGAGCAAAGAGTATACATAAAAAGTCCTAATGAGGTGTGGCCAGCTTCAGTAGAAACACTGCTCTGGGGAGGTAGGCATAGATTACCTCTGGCTTGTTGTCAGCCAATCATCCAATTCCAGACCAAAGAGAGACCCTGACTCAAAAAAGGGGGGGGCAAGAAAGAAAAAGAAAAAGAAAGTGAAACTCCTTTAATCTCAGCACTCAAGAGTCAGAGGCAAGCAAATATCTGGGCGTTCCAAGCCAGCTAGAGCTACACAGTGGAACTCTGTCAACAACAAAGCTGAAAGTCTTATCAGGGAAGGACAGCTAAGGTTGAACTCTGACCTATACCACACACACACACACACGCGCGCACACACACACAATTTATAATAGCAAATTAAGGTCCCCACCATCCTACATGGAGCCAAAGTTTAAAGGAAGCAAAACAGAAAACCAAAAAGAAAAGAACAAAGAAAGAGCTGGCAACACAGAATCTAGTTCTCAATTTATTTCTTTTTTTAAAGATAAATTTGTTTATTTTGTGTATGTGAGGGCATCAGATCCCATTACAGATGGTTGTGAGCCATCATGTGGTTGCTGGGATTTGAACTCATGACCTCTGGAAGAACAGTCAATGGTCTTAACCACTGAACCACTTCACTAGCCCCCAAAATCT